TCATGTATTAGTAATCTCTAATACTAATACTGCAAATAAACAACTTCAAAATTAGCATGATGTTGTGCCCTAAAAATATTTTGGTTACTTTTTAATAATTAATACAACAAATGCTCTCCGTTGGATGTAATATACACAGAATAAAGCAGGGGTGGAAACAATTCATGGACTTCATTGTGGATTAATGGTCTATTAGACTGAAATGAGTTCCAATCGATTAACTAGTAACATCCACTTTGACTTTCTTTTAGCGTTGTAGTGTGATCGCCATCCAGCAGAGGGCGCCACTGGTATCATTAAACGAAGCTGTAGAGACCCTCTCTTTCACCCGGGTGAACCCCAACGTACAGGCGCCGACATGGGGGTCAACAACTATACCAATACTATAGAAAAAGGAAACTCAAAATAAACACACAGAAAAATTCAAATCAACACAGAGAAAACTCAAATCCTTACAGTCTGGAGCAAAAAACGTGTGGAAGTTTTGCGAATGACACAAATTTTTACACAAGCGTAAAACCAACTTAATACCTTTTTATCGAAATACGTTTGTTTTTTTCAGAAATTGAAAAGGTAACTTATTTTTGTAATTCCATTGATATGCTCAATGGAAACGCAGCTTATGATGATGCATGATAATGTAAATGTGCCACAGTGGAGCATGTTGACCGAGGGCACCTAACAGGCTAGGACCGGCCCTGCCTCTCACCCCTTCATGCTGCCTTCCTCTCATTAGAACTGAAAGCCATTCTGCTCACTTTAATTCTTCTGTCCCAGTCGCTGATATTTTCCTAGCATACCTGGGTTCCTACTAAAAGCCTGTGTGGAGTGTTTCTGATTAGATTTAGAGCACAGATGAACTTAAGACACTCTTTCTGGCCAGGATGCAAAACTAAGCTGACATGGGGGCTTTTGGCTGTTGCAAGGGCAGCTATTTCTGGACAGGCTATTATGATTCATTAGTGGCTGTTTGAAGGTCTGATGTGTCAAGATGTGTCATTTCAGTAATTGTCAGTCAGACTTATCTTAAACCCTTCCTCAGCCTCGGAGCTCTCCCCCGAACAGACATAAAAAAAGAGAAAAGAATTATGCGTGGTGATAACCGAGAGAAGCTGAATTTGCTTTGTATCCCTCAGGGTTGTTATAAATCTGGACAATAGTAATGCAATTTTCAGTAGTCAGCTTGCATTCCAAGATCGTTGTTAACACAATGAGATTTTTTTTTAGAGTTCAGAGAGCTCCCCCAGTAGAAACTCACAATGGGCTGTCACATATTATCATTTTTCTACCATTATAATTCACTCGCCGATATACAAAGGAAAGCTAGAAACATGGTGCAGAATCTTATACTATAAGGACATGAAAAAATACTTTTACCGTCCTGAGGACACTTTTTGTGGTGATAGATGTCCAGGTTTTTTGTAGTTAGGTTCTGCCAAAATGTTGTAAGAATTTAATGTCTTCTTGGTGGAGACTACTCTCATTATGTGTTCATCTATTCGGTATAAATCTTAAAGAGACAGTATCGTGTAAAATACATTTATTTGAACTTCACATCGTGTTATTACAATATTCACTCGACAAAAAAAAAAATACCTGGAGTGTTGCCTAGATTCTTTCAAGCGTTTTTGAAAAGTCATTTATTTTCTCCTTAGACTAGCTCATTATGAGCTTCTCGCCAGAGCAAATTGGGGGAAAAAACATCGTCAAAGGGTTAATGGAGAAGGCATGTTGTCATGACTTCTTGAAGGCGGAGTTTCAGAAACAGCAGGAGTTTCTTAAAGAGACAGAAGGCCAAATTCAAGTACAAAGTCTTTAAAGTACTGTTTTTTCTTTTGTGTCACATTTCATATATGTAGCATTTTTATAACAACTGAAGGTGGCATCGTTATTGATTGTGCTATAAAATGGGAGTATGTACCTGGAAAACATGTAATACTGCCCCTTTAAGCAACTAAAGCTAACAGCTCATCTTAAATCCAGAAATAAAGTGGAATTCTGCCATTTTAAATCAACCCAGTCTGACCCAATCCTCAGGAATAAAACTTAAGATCATTAACACTATATACATAGTATGTATAGCACTATATATATACTGCAATTTCTTCAGTTATACTTCAGTTATTTCTTCAGTTATGTGTGATCTAAAAATGTATCCTAAATGTTTTTTGTTTTTTTGTCTCAATGGTTGCTTCATTCTCTGCTGTTTGTTGGTCTTCCTGTGAGATCATGGCTGGAGTCCAGTCTTGCGTTGTGCATGCTGGGCCTGCAGCGTCCATCTGCCCGACTCTTATTTTCAGCTTCGCCCTGCAGCATCTTAAAGATAAATGTAATATTGTGTACTTTTCTACTCGTCCTTTGCTAAATACACTTTTCACTTCCCTGTGATTGACAACTTATTCATGAAAAGATGAAACACTGAGAAAAGGCTAGAAACACCGATCTGTTCATTCTGTCCAGTGTTGATTCTGAATATGCACTCACACATGCCTGAATTTTAGAATAGAGACTGCTTTTATTTTAAGATTAGTCAGTAGCTTTCATTTTTTTCGTCATGTGCAGGAATACGCTCATGTTGCTGTCATTATCCTCTGTACCGTTATTCTGTGGTCACAGTAGGATCTGCTTCTGCTCTATTTAATTATGCATACTGGGGTATTTGTGATTCAGATATGAATATGCATGGAAATAGATTAGACTAAATGTGACCCAAACTGGAGCTCAGAGCAGCTAGTATCCACCCTCCACCCCCTTTCTCCAACTGGCTGCTGATTTCCCTGAACCTTCCCAATCAGTCATACTTACATACTCAGTTTAGACACTTTTGACTGAAGACAAATTGGTAACTTTTGTGGCCTTTTTTTTTTTAACAGATAAATGTCTCCAAGTTTGTCAAAGTTGGGTTATTTTCTCACTTTTACTGCATTCTTTCATTTTCCCAGGGAATATTGGAATATATAATCTGATAGTTCGGTCAACTTGGTTCAACTGGGGACCAAAATAGCAACGCTTGTTTATACGCTTGTTTAACAAGCTTTAACAAGCTTGTTAAAGCTTCACACTGTGAGAAATGAACTGAACACTTTGAAAAACCCGTTCGCCCCTCCTGACCAGTGGTGGCGCTGCACCGAAAACCATTGAAAGAAACAACACAAAAGCCTCTGAAGAAGAAACTGAGCACAACTGAATAGTTCATGTCTGAGTGTGAAGTAGCCAGAACAGACCAGTTTTGGTCACGTATAAAAATAAATATATGTAAAAAAAAAAAACCAAAACAAAACAAAAACAGCATTTCAGAAAGTAAACATTAAGGTTTGTTTTTCTGAAAAATACAACGTTTTGACCAACGTTTGAGTCCATAACTGGATTCGTTCTAGTCTCTCGAGCTCCTTTAATCGTATAAGACGTTGTCTTGTATTTCCCAGCTGCAGGAAAAAAGAGAGTTTTTTCAGAAGAGGAAGAAAGGCGAATGAAAACCAGGTGGGAACGCTGCTTCCTAATCTTGGGCTTAGGCTGCTGACGAGGGTCCCTGTCAAAATGAGGCTTGGTTCAATTCCACTCTCCCTGTTATCTCCCCTTCATCAGTATTGAAAGGTAACAAAAGCCTTTGAAGGCTTCATGGGACAAAACCTCTATTAAGTCCTTCAGACCCCTGTTAGGTGAAAATTGATTTCTTGACATAAAAGTTTGGGCATCATGGCTCTAACTCTACAGGAATTGTCTCTGGCTAGGCTACCTCCCAAACACACAGCATCCACAACATGGAAAAAAAATAAATAAATCAATAGTGATTGTCTTTCACAGTTCAATCACATGAGTGAACCTTACAGCGAAGACTGTTTCATTTACATTATATTTAGTCATTATTTGAACTGGACAGTAAATTTTTGTAAACAATTAAGATAAAAATGTGTGTCGACACATGCATAGCCATTACTACAGCAATGGATTTGTTTCCAAGGTCCATAGTAACAAATCTAGTGACATTCTGAGGATTGATTGGAAGATTTCCATTTTAACTACACGGCCTTTCAGTCCATGTCGGTACAGAACTGTTTCTTGGTTTTACTTCAGTCATCACCTTCACAAGATATTTTGGTTAATACTTTTCTTTGTGAGCCAGCTGCCATCTTTTTCCTGAACCTCATGGTGTCTGGATATTCAGCTAGTGTTTACACTTTCACGTCTTTGTTGGAGCAATTGAATGTGGCCCCTTCAGGAGTTTGGGCTTCTGTGGCACTTTTAATCAGCCTGCAATGGATACAAGACAGTAAAAACCAAATGAGAATGAGCAATATAAAGTTGTGTTAATGTATTTACTATGGTGTAAATAGAGTATAATGGGAGGCTGGCACCGTGTTGCTCTGCTCCTATCAATCTGACAACCCAGGTGAATTTCATTTGACTCACCCTGCAGCCACAAGTGACAAGATGGCGCTGGGAGAAGGCTAAAATGCTTACTGAAATGGTGGTACTAAAATCTTAAATAAAGTCAAATGTATGTCTTTTACTGTGGGCCTGCTGGGCCTTCAACAGCAGCTAACTATTGGGGTCAGATTGAGCTCAGACACAAAGCTATTACGGCCCGGTCCAAACTCTACAATGCAGGCATGAAGTTGTTTTATACCTGGTCATAATTCAACAATTTTTTCCCCCATTTAACTATTAACTTATTTATTTATACAAAACTCTGTTGTTGTGCCAGTTTTGATTATCTTCTGCAGCCCATAACAGCATCACTAAACCCCTGAAAGTCACCGCACCCACCATACATCCATCCATAAATATATATATAAATATCTTATGTACGCCCCTGCAGGTCCCTGCATCTCCAGACCGTCTGTGTTGGACATCAGGATGCGCTTGTATCCGGCGGTGACAGGTGAATGTTCGGCCGTTCGTGTCACGCATGCACCGCTGGAGAGGACCGCCCTCCTGCCGCCGGGAGGAGCAGAGAGGAGGAGAGAGGAGAGAGGAGAGAGGAGAGAGGAGAGGACCAGACCAGCGGTAGGAGTCTCCACACACAACGAGATGCGGTTCGCGATTCCTGCTGCTTGAATTTTAATTTGGTGTCGCCGAAATCCGCAAAGTTTCCCTTCCGCTAGAGAGCGAGGAAACCCCGGCAGAGGGAAAGCGACCGGCGGCGTCCCCCGTTTCATTCCTGCCGACTAAACCGAGCCGCGCACGGAGCTCTGCAGCGGAGGCTGATGAGCGTCTAACCGGGAGAGGAGCGCAGACAGACAGGAGGACAGGAGGACAGACGAGACGTCTGCAGATGTGCGTGTGCAGCCGATGCGCAGCGCAGGTGAGTGGACTGCTTGCGTTTCCCAGATGTTCGCTGTGGGTTTTAATTTTTTGCTTTTGTTTGGGGTTTTTTTTTTCGAGCTCAAAGTGTATCAGGTAAAACAAAAACACACGTGGTCGGTTCGGGTCGCGGCACCGGCAGCTTTATCCAGCCTGTGACCCGCCGGGCTCCGGGGGGTCCAGATGGAGACCGGGCCGGACGCACGATGGAGGCTGAGCTGACCGACAGCAGACCCGGTGATTGACTGGTTCTGTGGGAAACCAGAGCTCAATAAGAGATACATGTTCATCCAGCAGGTTGTTACAAAAAAACAAACAAAACAAAAACAAACTGCTGTAAGGTGCACTTTCCGCTGCTTCTAAAAAAAAAATCATTTCAAATTTGCCAAATTAGCAATAAATCTGATCATCTGAACTTTTTCACATTTTGTCACTTTAAAGTAACAGATTTCATCATCTTCCGTGAAGACGTGACAGGACGCAACAAAAGTTTGTTCACCTGCTTTTTCATCCTTTACATGAGGAAATGTGAACATGTGACATGCGGTCATATTCAGTCCCATAAATCAATACTTTGTTGGATCACCTCCTCCTGCAGCTGCAGCTGCAAACCGTTTTGGTGAATGTCTGGCGGATTAATGTCCAGGGACTACAGGGGCGGTTCTAGAACACATTTACCAAGGGCTGATCGTGGAGCCCCGGAGCCAAACCGTGAATAATAATAATAATAATAATAGTGAAATAAATAAAAAGGGCAATATTTCATCATGTAAAATATTAACTGAGCCAACAAACCAAAGAGCTGATTGTTTTTTTGTTTTGTTTTTTTGATTGATTGATTTGTAGTGTAAAACTGAATAGAAACAGTGACATTTTCTATTGAAGCTGTGATATGGAGTATTTTGGTATCAATCCAATACCAGTAGATGCAGGGCCAGTATCCCCAATACCAATACCGATACCGATATTCATGACTAAAATTTGACATATCATCACGCTTCTGACTTGTTTTTTTTTTTTGTTGTTTTTTTTCTCAAATTATTTTGTTAAAACCCACTAGAGAATTTAGATCAAACTCATATGCGTCTTCAGACGACTTGGAATAAATGAAAAGCTTTTTTTGTGCCCTGTTTCTAAAGAAACATGTCACATGAAAAGACTATTGATTTTGTATCATTTCTTCAACACAGGGGCCAAAGCAGGGGCCGCGACCTGTCCGCCCTGTTAATGTCAAAAAAGGGAAACGGACTAAAACATTTTTTTTTTTTACTTTTTAACTATTTTCTCTACTGTTCCTTTCCACAAGAGCATAAAAATATCAGTTAATTAAAAACAAATATGAGTAAATTGAATTTTAATGTGCAGTTTGATATAAATAACAGGTATGTTTCATCCTGAAGGAGCTTATTTCAAACAGAGATGTTTTTCAAGGGCAGCATTTATGCTTGCAGTAAAAGAGAAGTAATAAATAGTTTTTTATCGTCGCCACAATAGTACTAAAAACTATTGTGATAAAATTCGAAGTCCTTTCGCCCGCCTCCAGGACAGAAATACTTCTGCAAGGTCATAATTTGTTCCACATTTTTATGGAAAAAGTTCAGACAACCGTAAAGGTGTCGTTTGTCAGAGTCAGTCAGAGTCTGAGCTGCATTTCTATTACAAATGTGCACAAAAGTTGTCAATATTCTGCTTAACCAACGTTAGCTGAATTTCACTTCACGTGGAAAGTGGAAAAAGCATAATTTTGCAATTGTGTGTAAAATAAGAAACGCAAATCAAACCATACGTTACCAAGTTTGTTCCCATAAGACGTACGAAGACATTAAAAATGGCCACAGAGTTGCATCATCTGCCAGAGTTGCTCATGTCCTGCGGTGCCAGCGACAGCTCCATGGCTCATCTGAAAGGCCTGCAGCAAAACAGCAGCTCATTACAAGTGCAGCAGCCCGGCCGCCTCTGGCAGGAGGCTGCCGGCTCATTAAGGGTCACCGCGGCGCCAGACTCACACCGTGAGCCTCTGCTTGTTACCAGAGCGCGTGCTTTTCACGCGAGTCGGCCTCCAACTGGATCTGTGCGTCGCGTGGAGGACTGTTTTTACTTGAAACCCTCTCAGGTTGCTTGTGAAGTCGGTGTTTAGAAGAGCTGTGAACGTGTATGCTTCGCCATCGGGCCGACAGAAGCGGACCGGGACGTGGGCCCCTCATTTTCCTGGTCTGGTCTCTCCAAAGTTTAGCAGGAGGAGAGTGTGAGCCCAGATTTCCAGATAATGCAGTTTATGTTGTGATTGTCGCTGTGTGACTCAGAGGTGTGTGACAAGGAAAATGTGGAGCGAGGCAGCGGAGAAGACAGGGCCGACCCACAACCCACATCAATCTGAAAATAGCTCCCAGAATTGTGCTGTGCATGCTTCTATAATATTCCCATCTATCAGTTCAGCATGGTTTGTACTCTGTCAGGTTCCTGGAGGCTATTCTTTCTCAATGCTGTTGTTTTAGGGGCCCAAATTTCACTGATACGTAAAGCCAAATTGCTTGACATACCTAAAGGCTAAAGAGCAACTACACCGCAAAACACAAAGTCTTACAAAGTATTTGTGTCTGGTTTCTAGTGCAAATATTGTAGCACACTAGAAATAAGACGAAATCAACTTAAATGTAAATTGTAAGCAAGATATGAGCTTGTCCTAATTCAATAATTCCTTAATATTGATTTTAAAAAAATACTAGTTCTAGATTTTTTAAATTAAAATAATTGTTTTCAATGTTATGCAGGGAAAGAAATCTGAATATTTTCCACTTTACTTCTATGTTATTAATACATATAATGCTCAGAACTACTCCACGTGGTTCAACCAGTCTCGTGGATATGAATGCTGTTTCTGTCCTGTAAGGGTTAATGCTTCAAGAAATGATCTGATTGGATGCTGGAAAAGATTATTGTTGTGTTCAAGTAGTGCTAAAAGGAGTTAGCCAATTGTTAGCCGGTTAGCAAAGCTATTTATGTCAACGCTAAACGGGTTGCAGCAGCTCAGACGTCCCCAATGCTAACTTCTAGAGTCCATATTTCTAACAAATTATTTGGTAAGAATTTATTTGACGGGTCGTGAATAATACTGTCATGACATCATCATAAACACGACATAACACCTGTCATGAACATGAGTAAGACTTTATGAATATATATTACTGTTGTCATAAAGTGTCATTCGGTGAATCATGACACTGTTAATAGAAAGTTGACATGATTCAAAATGTCTTATGACAACTTGACATAAACCAAGAAATCAAGATCTGACATAAATGTGTTATAAAAGCGTTGCTGATTAAACTTCAAAAAATTGTCTCGCTTTATGTTATTAAGCCTCAAAAACATAATACTGAGGAATAGTCTTAAAGCTACAACATAAAGTTCCATACTGTTTCCCAGCACATGCATTCACATTCAATTAGCACTCCTGGCAGAAGCCAGAGCAGTGTGCGCACACACACACACACACACACACACACACACACACACACCACACACACACGCACACACACACGCACGCACACGCACCCCCCCCCCCCCCCTCCCCCACACACACACACACACCGCAGAGCGTAGAAACAATTACCGTATCCGTGTGCTCTGTTTGCCCCTCTTGGACATAATGGTTCCGCCTCATGGAGCGGCAGATGCCAGCTCCGGCTGTGAGAATGAGACAGAAGTCTGGCCAGAACTAACTAAATGGCTGACATATTTCTATACTCACTGCTAAAAAAAAAAAAAAATTACTACCCTTCACAAAGTGACTCATACAGTCACATTTCATCCATATTGTACAAGAAGTTTAAATAAGTATTCCCAACGAACAGACTTCCCAGTCTCGCTTTTCCTTCATACTTTGCTACTAGCTTTAATTTCCGTCTGATATGTTTGGTATTGGTGTTCAAGTCTAATTTACTCTGTGATCTCTTTTCTTTTTATCTCAAAGACATAGTTGAGTATTTTTAATAACTGTCGTAGTCTTTGCGGAGTGTAAACCCAGATTACTTGGGTCAAGTCGACTGAACAAGCCAAGCTAATCACAGATGATTTCCACAGCATCTGCAGAGACGGTCGCGACCGCAGCTCACTTCATTTATTTGTGAAAGGTTAGACAAATGCCAGAAATAATTGTTGCTCTGCCTCTCGACTGCACTCTCCTGTCCCCGGAGTTTTGATGTGTCGATTTTCTGAGGTGTTGCGGGTCATGAGAGCCCGGGCAGTTGGCTGGGCTTCTGCCAGGCAGTCATTGGGAAAACCAGGGTCACCAAGGGGAGGGGGGATGAAGCCATCTCCAGTGACAGCAGGAAGGGAGCTTTTTTGTCTGCGCTCAGAGAAATCTTAACGTCAACTGACTTGAGTTACCGACTCACTTCCTGCCTGGCGGAGAGAGCCAAAGAATGGACTGAAATGCTTGTTATCCAAGCCAAGATTAGCACAGGAAGAAGAGAGAGTGAACCCTGGCAGGAATCCAAACTGTATATTCATACACTCTAAGATGCATTGATGTCGCTGTCAAATGGAAGCCCAACAAAGCAAAGCTGGAATCTTAATATTTATTAAGAGCAGGAGGATGAGGGGCTGTGATCGTAAGCCCCTAACACCAACCCCCCTCAGAATCCGTCGCAGTCCGACATCATTTGTGTTTTAATGCGTTCGCCCTCAACGCAGAAGGCAGCAGGCGAAGATACTTTTAAAGCCAGAACTATTTCTTAACTAAGAGGGGAAAGAACGCTGCAGGAATCATTTATTTCCTGCTAGGAGAGAAAGAGAGAGGGGGAAAAAAATAGCTTCAATTTGCAGCTTCTCTCCTCTTGGTACATTTGCTTCAATTTTGCATCCATTTACAATTTCAGGTAAATCACAGACTCTGCAGTCAGCCTCAAATAGCAGGTGGAATTGCCACCGCGCTTACAGATGTGTCCATTATGTCCTAATTGATAACTCAAATATTGAAAATGTTTGATGGAAGGAGAT